ATTTTCAGAAACCAATATCTCGGCTTCCAGGAATCGCAGGACATTGTTCCTTAGCGCGTTCTGAAGGGTAAGGCCTTTACTTTAAAATGGTCTAAGTGAGATTTTTCGTCCCAATAAACTGTTTTTTTTACAAAAACCAAAAGCAGAGAGTGTTTGAGTCTTAAAAATATTATGACATTGCAGCCTTTCATGGGCAAAGCAACAACGAGGCGAGAAACGTCACCACATTAGTTTTGAAGCCGAAAATATTTCTTTTAAAATGGCAAAAAGAAAATTGTTCTAGTTTGCCTAGAAGCTGAGTTATCAGGTTCCAAAGTAGACCCTGTTTTTTGCAAGATTTTGATCAAGTACTGCCGGCATTTGATATGCACCACGAGAGAAGGTTGCTCGGTCAGAGTTTGCACATTATTGTGTGTGCGTGTGCGTGCGCGTGCGCGTGCGCGTGCGTGCGTGCGTGCGTGTGCGTGTGCGTGTGTGCGCGCGCGCGCGCGCGCGCGCGCGTGTGTGTGTGTGTGTGTGTGTGCGCGCGCGTGTGCGTGCGTGCGTGCGTGCGTGTATGTGCGTGCGTGCGTGCGTGCCTGCGTGTGTGTGCGAAAAAGAGAGAGAGAGAGAGAGAAAATGTAAACGCATGTTTATGCGCGCGTGTAGTCAGCTGATCGTCGCGAGGGTCTCGCGTACCGCCTGCCGTCGGACTGTAAGTTGCGCCGCCCCTGTCTACCTTCTGTACGCGGCCCGTAATTCGCTAACTATTTCTCTTTATAACTTGAAAACTAAGCTCCGCTAAAATGTTTGCCAAAGGAAAAATCGTCTCAGAATACGGTCAGAAATATGTATGTTTAAGGACACTATACTTATTCTGAATAATATAATATTATAATAATATAATAATGTAATATTTTACGAATAATTACGAATAATATAATAATGTAATATTTTACGAATAATTACGAATAATATAATAATGTAATATTTTACTAATAATTTTAAATTGATTCTAAAAGAATTTATTTTGTTTCATAAATCTAATAAAAATTAATCAATTTGGTTAAATAAAATGAGGATTAAAATGTGAGTCTACTTTAATTAAAAATTTTTAATCATAATTTGTTATCAAACATAAACATACATGAAAAACAGAATATTAAGCAAAATATATGTTGAATTTTAATGAATCAGGAAATTTTATAATACTTTCTTACGACACTATTTTTATCATCTTTTTTTCATTGATGTAATTTTTTTGTACGTATGTTTTGTTTGGTATAAATCATATAAAATGCAAAGCTGATTCACCAAAAAAAATTTGATGATCACTAAACTGTTGATCTGTTTTGCCCCCTAATTTTGGAGCGAATTGGATATTTCCTCTTCTTCATTTTTCTATTGTGCGATAAAAAATATTATACATATATATGTATCTATAATATTATTTTATTATTCGAAATTGAAGCTACAGTTCTAAAGATTAAAAATTCATATAGAATAAAATTTAATAATATAAGTTGTTTTTGTCTACCTTTTTGTCAATAATGAAAAATTGATCCGATTTGCCTCGATCTACCCCATATAGATTTCGGATTAGTTAAAAGAAAAGAAAAGGTTTTGTCAATAATGAAAAATTGATTTGATTTGCCTCGATCTACCCTATATAGATTTCGGATTAATTAAAAGAAAAGAAAAGGTTGAACAATTTATAATCTCGTCTACTTGTGTACTGCTGGCGTCATCTGCAGTGTCGTGATATTAAAATATTGTCAGCTGTAAAATGACATATTGCAATACATTTTACAAATTAAAAGTTTATGACAATCTCTTACAATAAGTGTGTGCTGCTGATAAGACTACGTACAGAATGATTCCTAAGACTTACGTGCTCCCTAACCTTTTATTTTATTAATTGTAAATCGATTTTTTCAATGAGATTTTTTACATTACCCGTATGAAGTTAGTCCCATTATTCTTTGTCCATGCATATTAAATCCAATATATTCTAGGCCTAGTAGAAAATCATAATCACGTTCAAAAAATCCAATAGATTCGGCGGCAATTCTTCCAGTAGCCAACATAATATCTTTAAAATTGAGAGGCGCATAAACTACATTAATGAAATCTTTATGCTTAAAGCCAATAGGTACTCTGTTTTGTACCCAACAAAGAGTACTTAGATCTCCTTTTACCTACAATAATTAAATGTAAATTAAATGTAAATAATTATCATTTAAATAAAATTTGTAATAGAATTTCTTGACTCACCATTTGTGTGATATGAGCATTCTGTACACATTTTTGTTCCAACGATGGTAATGGAAAATGCCTATAGGATCCCCAAATGTTACCGGAACGTATAACATTAATAGGCAGATCCAACAGCAGCTGTTTCATGTACAATGGGTCTTGCAAAGAAAAAGTGGATGCTTTGTCATCTTGAATAAATATGCCTCTAATCATTTCGCCTCCTGGTTCTTTTCGCAAACAGTTAATAAGACCTAGTAACCCGCATTCAAAATCCCCTTCCGCGACTAATATGATTCTCATATCTACACTAATCTCATTTTGCATAATCATGATTGATTTCAGTTCATCTACCCATGAAAAATTATAATTGTTTACATGTACAATCCGCTGATTTCTCGTAACATTTTGTGTTTTTCTTAACAATAAAAGTGTCTTTTTGTTTATTTTTTTCTTTAGTATAATATCCAATTCATATGTTTTCAAGCATGAATCATTGTAGACTGCAATGGATTCCTCCAGAGTTAGTAAAAAACCTTGCGGCATTAACAGAGACAATAACTGTTCATATAATTTTTTACTATTTTTTGTCAAAATATTGAAACCAATGACCATCAAACAATTTTCGTCTCTGGACAACTTAGTAATCTCCGTTGTAGAAACATTGTTTGGTAAAAAAATATTTTGGAATTTTTCATGAGACATTACAAGTTTAGTATGATGTCGAATCTGCGGTAAATTACTTAAGATTTCATTCACGAGTGGAAAATTTAAATCTTCTAATATTATTTTATCTGTATCTTCGACAAATTCGATAATTTTCACATTTATCATATTGTAACATTCAAGTGCAATGTGTACTGCCATTCTTATTGCATCTTGTAATGACATAGTTTCTAAATCATGGTGGGCAACAAATTTATATTCTTCAAGAACAGTATTAACTGATTTCTGTCGCTGAAATATAGATGTGGCCACAGTACCACAAATTTCTATTCCTCCGGATATTATAGCGTCTAGAAACTTATAATGACGAACAGAAAATTCTGTAATGTAGCGCAGAAAAGAAATTTCATCGGACCATGATTTGAATTTGAATGTATTATATTATGCTTATGTTACTTACGTTTTTCTTCAATTGGATAATCATGAATAAGCCTCATTAACTGCATGTGATATTTCGGATCAATTGTCAATTTGCGAATTCTTGTAGGAAGTAGAAGACTTCTTGTATTCTTTCCTAAAATCATCATCTGTAACATATTATCTATAAATGTTACCCAATTGTATGTCCAAACGATGTGACCGTTCGATCCCGTAATTGATGAGCTTTTTAAACCACGAAATACACCGGTATATTGATAACCACGGAGCCTTAATTCTTTATAAATATCTTTGGTATTCATTTCTTCTTTTTCGTCAACATGTTCAACAAGGTTAACACATATTTTTTCACTTTGAATATTGGTTGGAATTCGTACTGTTCCAGTGACAATAGCATTGTCTCCTTCGGTTATTTCAAACTTGTTACTACCTAGATATAGATAAAAATTTTTTAATCATAACGTGTTATATAAAGTCTTTAAGATTATTTACACTACTTTCAAAAGGAAAGGATTTTTATAAAAAATGTTTCATATAAAAGTTGCATCTAAAGGAAAATAAAGGTAAAATCAATTTTCTAAAAAACCGATTTTTCACATAAAGGTTATCGTCATTTTTTTTAACAGAATGTGTTTGGGAATAAGTATCATTATTATCGTCATAATTGTGATATTCGCCCAATTGTTAATGTATTTCGTAAAATCACCCCCTCTTTGATCACACATCGAATGATAGGGAATCGCCGTGTACCACATTGTATCATGTATTGGTCTTTGTCTCGCGTGCGCCCTTCTAATTGTATGTACATCGCGTACACGACGCAGGACCCCCTGCACAGCGCCCGAAAATAAGTTCTTGCGCATCGTTCGTCGCTCGCGATCGATGAGTTCGCTGCCAGATCCGGATCGATACGGATCATTCTTGCTTATTGTCGTCGTTTTGCGTGTTGCATGATATCGTTTTCGGTTATATCATTTTCGTTAATCGCATCTGTGTAAAAGTGCAAATCGCCTTGTGCATAACCAAACCAGTGTCACTTATTAATTCGCCGTTTGCGCCAATGCGATCATGCGAACAGTGTGTGATTCCTGCATTCCGCATGTTTCGTCGTTCTAAAAGATTTCTGTTTTGTTCATATCGCGCTTTCAAGATTTCCGTGCCGTTCGTATCGCATATCCCAAGATTTTCGTTCCGTATCCATTCGCGCATGTAAGACTTCTGAGTCGTGTATAATGAAGTGGCTCGGCATTCCGTGCGTGACATTTTCCGAATTATACCGTGTAGTCGCCAAAGCACTCACCTTGCCAATTATATAATTAATTTGATTAGTAAAAAAATGACCAAACGACTATTTCGATTTCGTTATTTGAAGATTACCCCACCTGGGTATGCGAATCTTCCAATACAAGGTTGTGTTAGCAACACGCAAATAAAATGGATGATTTCTTTTACATAATATTCTTTTAATTATTTTGACATAAAATAAAAACTGTTCATTTTTTAACTTCAACTTAATACTTTTATGTCTTCTGTTTCCGATCGATAGGTATCAGATTTGCAGCTGAGAGTGTGAAGTGTGTGAGTGAGTGACGTGATAGAGGAAAGAAAGCGTGGCGTATAGGGCAAAGAGAGGTGGAGGGAGCTGAGGGTAGATGGATTGTGGCGGGGAAGGGAGGAGGAAAGGGATGAGAGAGTGAGGTGAGTAAACGGGATAGGAGGAGAAGAAAGAGGAGTTGGAGAAAGAGTGGCGCTGTAAGCCTTAGAACATATATAAATGAAAGGGGAATGGGGAATCAAAAAGCGTCCGATGGAAGTGAAAAAGGAAATCATATACCTCTCTTTCTTGCTCTTTCTCTTGCTTTTTCGAAAGTGCGCATGCGCATTGTTTGGCGAATTTAGCCGCGCGCATGCGCACTTTTGAAAAAGCACTTGTAAGAGAGAGATACCTCTCTCTCTTGCAAATGCTATCGGACGTGGACCTCTCTGTTCATCTTATGGGCATTCCTCTTCCATTTATGGGTGCGTTTTGATATTCACTGTAAGTACAGGCGTTTTGACGTAATTCAGTAGAACTTTAAGAACGTTCCGTTATTACTGAGACTGATTTTTCCGTACATAGCGCTGCAATAACGGAACGGTATCTACAGTACTTATAGCACTGGCAGTAAATATTGGAACGCAGCTATCTATCAGCAAGTTTAGTGTTTTTTATCAGCAAGAATGGAAATTATTCCATAATTCCATACTTCCATACTTCTTTCCATACTTCCTATGCAAAGAATAGACTTCCCATAAGTTGTCACGCGCTCGGCGAGGTTCAAGGTTCGCGCGAGCGCAGATCAAAAACGGAAAGAGGAAAATCGTGAACAATTTCGGGAGGGAAGGTGTTAGTCCTCTTATGTAGGTCCCTCCTGCGATCGACAGGGAGGCGCGACGCGAGAGTTGGGCGCCAGACGTGCTCGGGGGCAACGTCGTTCGCGAAACTTACAGCAAACGCGATAGCGCGAAAAAGATACTTGTATTCGACGATACCCAGAATCCCCAAAACGAATGCTTCTCCCGAAGTCGATCGCGTGAGGGCCGGCCGGCTCTACCTAAGCAGAGAAGCAGGGCGGAAACGGAGGGCGAGTTATGAGACTTTCGACGGAATGGCGGTGAGCGGGCGAAAGAATGCGTACGCCAGAAGTAAAATAAGAAAGAACACTTTAATAAACGCTTGGTACGGCGATATCAAATGCTCAAGAAAAGATATTATATATAATTAACAAAAAAAAGAAAATAAGGAAAGAATAGACTTGGCGATATGCAACCGAAAATAATCTAGTAAATTCTTTAAAAAGAAAAAGTTCCGGCAAACGAAAACGCAGTAACAATAGTACGCTCAGTCCGATACCTTGGTCGCAGAGGAATACATTGGCCCGTGCGTCGACGTAGTTAACGGGCGCACGCGCACGCCCGGATCGGCAACCGGAAATAGTGCGACGCACAACTTAATCTACTCCGTCGGAGCCAAATTATATAAAATCGGACCGGTAGACGAAAACGCGATCAGAACGATACGACAGTTGAGTACGGTAAAAGAATCTATCTCAGTACGATGCGGGCACCAATAACAGTCAAGAACACTCGCGCTGAGTAGCCTCAATAACAAGCTCGCAAGACGGACAAACGTACGGAAACGAAAAACGAACAATGAATTACTTGCGTCGATGTACAACGGAATCAAACGCACGATAGAAATACGCGAAGACGTTAGGTACCCGCGGAATCGCGGACACACGCACTTACGATAAACTCGCGCACTCGTGCACGAGGGCTTTGCGGCACATTCGCGGGGGCGATCTCCGGGCGGCTCGATACGCGACTCACGACACTTCCGGTAGCCCACGACAGATTCCTGTGGGAACCCTCGCACTTGGGGACGCCGGCAACCAAATACTACGAAACACGCGTCGCCAGAAGGGCGCACGCGACGAGACTCGAACACGAAAATGGCGTTTCCGTCCGCAGAGTGGGATCGCGAATGGGATCCGCGACCTGCCCGTGGCTTTACAGCGCTCGGAAACAAAGGGTCACCTCACCGGCACGCTCTTCTCCTCGGGTAGCCTCCAGGGGTCCCTCCGACAGGCCGGCAGCACGTCTCTATCTCTCTCTTTCTCTCTCTCTTTCTCTCTCTCTTGCTCGCTCGCTCGGTCTTCCACACGCTAGCGGGGTTCGCACGCAAAAGCGGCGTAGATCGCGTTCGATACGCGATCAATGCCTGCACCCCCTGCCTGGGGGTGCGCAACATAGCGGCGCACACGGTCGCGACCAATCGCGGCGCGCCGCGGGGGCCCGGCCGTGACACGGGCGTATTTGGCGACTTTTCCGGTGGGCGCCTCGCGTCCTCGCGATAGCGCCCTGGAGAAATCACCGGCCTTGTGGCCCTTCGCGGGTCTCAGATTCTTTGCACGCCTTCCTGGCCGCGCCCCTGGCGGCTCTCGTAAGTCCTTGCGCGCGGTCACGCTCTCCGCTCGTGCGCGCTTCGTCGCCTGATCGCCGCGTGTCCGGTGCGTGCCCCCTTAGCTCCTGCGCCAGGTCGCCTGCACTCCAAGCCCTTTCCTCTGTCGGTGGTCTTGACTTCTCGCCGTCGTTGCTCCTCGCGCTCGGTGAGGCGCCGTGTTACATACAAAAAGTTTAACCGAATTAGCATAAAATACGCGATTGACTCTCGGGCCTCCCGGAGACCTCGGTCTCGCTCTAAATAATCGCGGCTGTCGGACCGGCAAAAAGGGCGCGAACCCGCGCCTTGTGACGGCGGCGGGACGCTGCTCCGCTGCAGCGGGCTGCAACGTCACAAAGTATATTATTGCTTGTTGCATTTTGCATAATATTTGTTTACTACGTGGAGATATAAAAGAAACGCAATTATGTATTGCCAGATTTTTAATAACTACTGTACAAAAGAACAAATAATTTCTTGTTTTATGTCTAATGTCAGTGATTACGGTTCTCATCCTAATGGACTGTACCCTGTTTTGATAAAAAACTTCAATGAACAATAAAACAATTAATGACTAATTTCGCTTACTGTAGTAACAATGTGATATATATCAATTGAAACCTCTTCGATTATTAGATATGAGTTGATGTAATGTAATATATTTATAAGAATAAAAGTCTCAAACTTAAAAATATATATATATTATAATTATGTGAATAGTTCTTATTAATAATAAAGTCTTTTTTAAAGATAAGATAAAAAGATAAACATTGTGTGATATACAGGGTGATTCAGAATAACCCCGGTGTCCCTGTAAAGACGTATTCTTGACTCAATTCTAAGACGATTTTTTCTTTACAAAAATTTTGTCCGAAGCTTAGTTTTCAAATTATAACGAGAAGTAGTTAGCGAATTACGGGCCGTGTACGGATAGTAGACAGGGGCGGCGCAACTTACTGTCCACCGGCAGGCGGTACGCGGACCGTCGTGACGATCGGCTGACTACACGCGCGCATAAACATGCGTTTACATTCTCACTCTCTCTCTCTCTCTTTTTCACACACACACACGCACGCACGCACGCACGCAATATCTTACCTTTTGAAAGATTTGTCGACTTCTCGAAAAAGATGGATTAATTCAAATGTGATTTCCACGTAATGAGTGTTTATTTTAACAATTTTTGATAGTTTTAATGCAAACGTCACAAGTTATCACTGACACAGATCAAATAATTAGATAATTCATTTTTTTTGCAAACCGTGTCATTTCAATATTTCACACTCAATTCACATACAAATTATTCACTTGAAGAAATTACGAAAAATCTTCTAATATATTTACTTAATATCTGTACTATTATGTACTTTATAATCACTGACGATTAATTATCCGTCCACTGAAAAATCACACGAAGAAAGAAACACCTGTCTCTTATACACATCT